GGGTTCGCGGGGAGGGAGGGGGACGGGACGAGGAGAGGAGGGAGAGCGACACAAAACAAGAGAAGCTGGTCACTTGGAGGTGAAGGCAGGAGGAGGGGACGACCCCCCACCTCCCCCAAAAGCATTTCTGGAGGAAAAACTCAAAATAAAAATTTAAAAAGAAAAAGGAAAAAAATATTTATTTATTTATTTTAAAATTTGTTTTGTTGTTACCTGTAATGCTTGCACACAGCATCCTTTTGCACACAGCGCCCTTTTCTACCTCTGGTTGGAAAAGTTATTCTTGGGGACTCCCAAACCCAGAATCCCCCATTGGGACTCTAGGTCTCAGGAGGACACACAACCCCAGTCAAGCTTCCTAGCTCACCCCCCCAAGGCCCTTCCAAGATTCTGAGAGCGGGAGTCCAGGAAAAGCCCCCCCCCAATTTCTCCCCACTCTCAGCAAACACACACACAGAGAGAGAGAGAGACGCAAGGCCTCCGGCAGGCAAGAAAAAAAGCAACGGCGGTACCTGGAGCTGTCGGGGAGGTCAGCTCCCTAAGGACAAACCACCGGGGAGGGGGCTGAGGAGGGCAGGGGGAGGGAAGACAAACGCCTGCGAGACAAGAAGGGTAAGAGGGTCCTCCCTCCCACCCGCCCGCTTCTTCCTCTTTTGCTGAAATTAGGGGGGGGGGAAGGAGGCAATATTTTGCTCCCCACCTCCAAAATCGGACGGAATCGGAAGCTGTCCGTTGAAAAGAAAAAGGTGCGATCCCGCTGACTGGGAAATTAAAATCCAATCTAACTCGGGAAGGCTTATTGTACCGAAACTACGTTTCGGGTGGGAGCGTTAATGTGAAGCACAGCCTTATTTGTCTAACAAAGCCTGACCCTTGTCCTTCGCCAGGCACTCTGCCTGGGTCTCTCTCTCTCTCTCTCTCTCTCTCCCTCTCCCTTCCCCCACTCCCTGGAGGAGGTTTTCCTGGTGGCACCACTGGAAAATGTGGGGGCCTCCCTTAGGATGAAGTTCAGTAGAACGCAACGGGATTTGCATCTGAGGAAGCCTGCGAGGTTAAGATCAGAACCATCAGCGTCTTTACTGGAGAGTAAATTCAGTGCAATTTACTTCCAAGTAAAGAAGACGCTACAGACCCCTCTCCCCTATTGGCCTCCTACACAATTCTTAGACCTAACCTCTATGGCGCAGAAGGAGTCGTGGCCCCGCGGGAATGAGCACAGGATCCGGTAGAAGGCGTCTTTGCTTAGGTTCGACTTAAATCAGTGAGACTTACTTCCAGGTAAAAAGGTTGGAATATCAGAAAATCGTCACACAGGAGGGCCTCTGGAGCCCACGTTATACATAGTAAAATACAGTTTTAGTCCAAACGAGAGTATACCCATTGAAATGAATGGGGCTTGTCAATCAACAGATAGCTAAACCTCAATGGCACGAATGGATCTGCTTTAGTGGAAATTGAGATATGATTTAACTAGTAGTCTGATTTAAATAAGATTTAACTCGAAATATGATTTAACTCATCTTTACAGCCAAATAAATAAACCACTTTACTTTGGGATTCACATAAGAACACGAAGTGCCATTCACGTTCAATCTAAGGAAAAGCGTTTTTGAATGGAGGGCCAGTCCAGTCATCTCCAAGGGACAACAGAAACCTCTAATTGGTTTGAGGACAAGGTTGATTCGGAGTCTGACTATACACACAACAAAATATCCCCTGTAGTCCGAAAGCTGAGATAATTCATAACACGCTTTGACACGCGGCCAAGAAAATGTCCTATATATCTACCTCTTGGTTTCCACCCCACTTTGGTGCCATTTTTTTTCCATTTTGTTCGCACTCCATTCGTTTTGCTGTTAGCGGAGATCACGAAGAAAATGAAGGGAGCAGTTCTCCGCCAACCACTCGCCCCCCTAACCCGTCCCTAAAGCAAAGCAAAGCAAAATCCAAAAGACACTAACACGAGAATAATTCAATTTTCAGACCCCCCCCCCAACTCTCCCTCGGTCCCATTTACTACAGAACACAAAATTTAAATATCTATCTATCTATCTAACTCCAGGAACAAAATGCAACAAAAATCTCAGCCGAATTTCCTCTTTGAAAGCGAACTAACAATAATAACGACAACAATAGTAATAATGCGTGGAGACACCTAATAAACCTTCACCTCAACAGCTTGTTAAAGGGGCTGCTTTCTTTCATGTGCTAATCGCCAGTAAAGCCCCAAGCCCGGCCACTCCGCATTGTCCCCCTGCGTTTTTGGCAAAGTCTGACCTTTCACGTGTTAAGGACCAGAGACCTCAGGCGGGCAGACAATGGCGGAGGCGTGAGTCCCTCTCCAATCCACATCCTACCGGCTGCTCCGCCAGCCGCCCGCCCGCTAAGGTATTATTATGTGGATTCGAACCAGCGAAGGACTCGCCTTTTGTTTACCCAGACCGTGTTTTACCTTACAAATCTCTCCTTTTAACCAGACCATCTCCCGACCCCCACCACCGCTGTGCTGTGACCATTTACAAAACCCAACTCTCAACTCGGTCAATTGCGAGTCCCAGCTAGAGGAGATCCACTTGAATCAACGGGACTGTGTTGAATCTTAGATTTACCTACATTCTGGTCCACCCAGTGGGCCTGTTCTAGCTGGCATCAACAACCATAGACCATAGTTTTCATTTGTTTGTCTGAGACATGTGGCTCCGTGTTTCGCATGAACCTATAAGCCAGTGGCTGATCATTATTTAGAGCTGCAGAGAAGCAGGCGGATTCTTTTCAGTGATAAAAGCATGAGTAGATTTTTAAGGTAATAGACTCGGCTTTTCCAACTCAAGTTTGCAGCCTCTCATTTTAATTTCATTGTTTTCAGTCTGCACTAATAAAGTGCCTGATTTCGACGACTTATTAAGTCGACGGTGTTTATATTTAAAACATTCAAGGACAACTACCCTAAGTATTCTAAATTCGGGCGTAAGCCATAGTGAACTCAGCGGGACTTACTTCGGAGTAAAAACTCCATAAGCGGACACCTCCCCGCAACTCCAGTCGCCTGTTTCTCTCAGTCTGAAACTCATACATTGTAAATCGTCCTTCTGGCCCATTAGAAAGAAGCCCAAAGCTACAATGTGGCGACGATAATATCACAAAGTCCACAGCAAGCACGTGGAAGAAGGGAGACCGGCGGCTCCCCATCAGCGACTATGCCGTGGTTTCGGAAATACAACTGCTCTGACTTGAGAATTCCGGCCTGCCTGATGGTTTAATCTACTGCATGTGTAATCGAGAGAAAGCGCCCTTGAAAAGAATGGAGCCGGCTTCTTAGTAAAAGTAAGTAACATTGCTACAGATCGGCCAAAATCCAAGCCCTTCTTTTTCTTTTAAAGCCTCACAGAGTAAGCATCCAGAGACACTTGAGCCAGCGGCCATAGCCAGACTCCTTTGCCTGCGCTTAGTTTTTCTTTTAAAACAACTCAGTTGTAATTTCAGTCCAGAGCCCCGTATTTTAATTAAAATCTCGGTGTTTTATTAACCTACAGACCACTGTAACAAAATGCAGCCCTCAGACTAAAAGCAGTGCATGCTTTTCTCATTAGTTTAATTCAATAAATCTTTCACATCCATTATATATATATATATCTACGCGCTTTCTTGGTGAAAATAATATGTCCTGCCTAGATCTAAATCCCCGAAGTATTTACTTGGAAGTAAGAAACACTGAAACGTGTGGAACTTACGCCCAAATCGTTTTTTCCCCTCTGCCGTTGCGATTTTTGCCAGGCCACGATTCTGCTCCTCGGTAGCTAAGTCTCAGATAAAACTCCATAGCCATCTCCCTGTGCAACAACTGCTGTTTTTTTTTTCCCCTGCCTCTTTTTCAGCGACAGGATCTTCTTGGATTAACTTTGAAAAGAACAAACCTGTTTTCTGCCCTAAGATTTATGCGGGTACACAAGAAACTCGTAAGGCTCTGCTAATCTCTTGTACTTTCCTTGCCAACTTCACTGACTGCAGTGAAACTCCGAATAAATGCTTAGAATGTCGCCCTTGATAGTCTTGACTCCGAAGCAACTCCACTAAATCAATTAGAATCATAGGGCCAAAGCATTGCCGTTTAACGCGCTACGCTGAAAATACGGGGTGCCCGATTTTAAGACACGTTGACTCGGAAGTCTGCAGAGTCTAAGGCCTTCCCGGAAAGATTCAACCTCGAGGGTGCTGAGGGCTGCCGCGCACTTAAGATCCTGGCCCGTTCACGTGAAGGGCACTTCTTTCCAGATACAGGCGGTTGGGACGAGAAACCTCGTCCGCCAGCCAGCTCCGCACCCACCCGCGAGACGGAATTGCACGGATCCTGCTGCCTTTTCGCTCTTTGATCGCGCCATAAATCTAAGGCGCGAAGGGGTGGAGGGGGTGGGTGGAGAGAAAGCCACCCTAAATGTGAAACCAGAGGGAGAAGAAGAAGCGGAAGAAGACGATGGTGCCGGGCGGGAGGGAGGGAGGGAGGGAGGAAAAGCAGGAAAGGGCACCTTGTGGGTGCCTAGGACCGAGTCGGAGGCCTCGCGCGGCGCGCATATCTGTGGGGCTGAGCGCAGGTCGGAGCCTGCCCCAAATGGCTTTCTTGGCCCGGCTTCCGCCCGGCCTTCGCATCTCGTTCAGAACAGGCAGCCCAGCCGAGGAGGCCATCCATCATATTCGGAGGAGACGGCAATCCTTCTCCGGGGCCTGACAGGGAAGAAGCGAGGCCAAAGCCCGCCTCAAAGGAGGAGAAACCGAAAGCCGCCACCGCCACCACCGCGCCTGCCAAGTGGGGACTTCGCTCGCTCCAGCACCTCTCCCGCCGCCTCGCCGTCTCGGCTCTCGCTCGGCTCCCCCCCCCCGCTCTCCGCCCAGTCCGCCTCAGGGCTTACCCTGACTCTGGCCTCCGTGAGGTTGGTCCAGACGGCGATCTCCTCCCGCGTCGACATGTCCGGGTAGCGGTTCCTTTGGAAAGTGGCCTCCAGCTCCTGGAGCTGCTGGCTGGTGAAGTGAGTCCGCTGCCGCCGCTGCCGCTTCTTTTTGGACGGATCCTCGGGGCCCGGGTCTTCATTCTTGCTGGGCTGGCTTTTGTCCTTTTCTGCAAGGGAAAGAAGTCCCGGATCAACTGCCTGCGGCTGGCGGCGAGTGCGGGCCGCGGGAGGGGGAGAGAAAGGGCGGATCGGCCCCCCCCAGAAGGGGATCGGCCCCCCCAAAAGGTTTGGGCCGCCTGGCTTACGAGTCCACGCCCGCAGTGGGCGCCATTCACATGGCGGTAAAGGCGGAAGGATTGCCCTGAATAACAGGGGTGGGGGTGGGTCGGAAGGGGACGCGGAACCCAACCCCAAGCCTATTTTCCTGGAAGTAAGAGCCATTGAACTCAGCTGGATTTTGTTCTGATTATGGTAAAAGCTCATTTATTTGGAAGGCAGGCTGCCCTTTTTGAAAGCAAAGGGGTTCTCTCCCAGATTGATATGTTTCTAAAATCGAGAATACAGTATATGGAAAGCCTCATGGAAAGACTACCATCCTAAACATGCTAAGGAAGACGTTCTTTTAAAATCAGTGCGGTTTGCCCTTGTCCTAAGGCATAAACGAAAAAATTAATGGCACTTACAGTCCAGCGGATAGAATTGAGAACGGTAAGCCCCTTCGATTTTAGCAGTATGCACCAACATCGGATAGATACCACAAATGCTAAAGCAGCGCTCTTAAGCCTGTGGAGCCCCCCTCCACTCGATATTTGGAAAAGTATGGGTTCAAAACCGCAGGTGAAGAACCACATCGTTTATTCTAGTTCTCAAATAACGCTTAAGACCTGGAGCTTTGATTTGGGAAGTTAGTGTGACCCTGACACTCAATTGCCATCATCCCGCCTATATTTTCACGGCAACTTTTATCTGTACACAGTTGTTAGAGGTGACAGGCTCAGTTCTTTACTGGAGGCGGTTCTGTAAATGCAATGCATACCATGCAGCGACTTTAGAAGAAGAATGATTTATACTGCATCTGTATCTGTATCGATATAGATATAGGTGATTGTACACGAAAATCTGTAAAATGACACGCAGCTCTGCATCCATTCATCTCTTGTCAAGATTGCAACCGGAAAGGTTATTATTGCATAACATATTCTTGCACATCTAGACATGCCCACCTTTGTGCTGATGTAGTACACCATCCAGATTACACAGTTTAAACTATTGGTCTACTTTGCACTTTATATTGATACTGTCCCATTGAAATTAATGATAGCCCAGTAAAAAATTTTCAGCTGTGGAATCAAACGCAGTAGCTGTTCAAAAGCAGGCACTTTGAGATGTCAATCCTATTCACGCATTCTTACTCATGTAGAGAAATATATGAGTCTCTCACATAAAAACTGTGGATGCTCTTGATTTATAAGCCAATACAGATTATTTAGATGAGATATATATATATACGTATATACTTCCGAGTAATCATGGATGGGGTTGGGCTGATTCAGATGGTTATTACGCTCCACACCTCAGCTCTACTCTGGTACTCGCATCTACTCAGATCCAAACCCCACCGAGTTCAAGGCACTAATTCCCAGCCAAGTAAACGTGTCTAGATCTGCAGCCTGAAAACGAATTACTTGGATTGAAGCCGATTATGTAACTGGTCCTCGTTGTGGTTACTTAGAAAAAAGCCTAACGCAAAGCAATGAGATATAATGTGATGTAGCCAGGCTACATAGGATGGCAACCTAATAGCACCATCTACCATGACTTATTGGTTAGGTGAGCCACACAAATGGGTACAGTCCGAGCCTTTGTTATTTACTGAGAAATGCGCCCATTGACTTGTGTGGAACTTCCACAGTCCTAGACACGTTTAATCGGAAACGGATACCATTGTGTTCACTGGGGCTTGTAGGTCAGTTTCTTAGACGCCTATGAAACTCAACTACATCAGTTCCAATAAATCTGAGCTTCTCGGAGCTCTGCTCTTTCACGGATCCTGAAATATGTACAGAGCAAAATATTGGCCTTTATAGAGTGCGAACGTTAGTTTTAAGATAGGTTTCTGAGTAAGTCAATTGTTGCCCTTATCTGGAGAGGGTCTAATACACCGTTTTGTTCTTGCTTGTTTTTCACTGACTCTTTCTTAATCACCTTCCCTTCCAGGCTAACTTTTTTCCCTACCAAGTCCACGCAGTGTCTCCCGGAGGGCGACACGAATCTCTTACTCGTTCTCTTCCTATTGAAAACTCTCCGTAAAGTGCCATCAAATGCCTCCTAGAGTCTAAGCCCAAAGAGATGCCATCTTATAGAACAGGGGCGAGGGTGAGAGAGAAATATCCTGGCATAGCCCTTCTAATGTGCTGCGCTCTCCTCCACCCCGCAGCACAGGATTGGGACCTTAGTCCACCCTCCCGGCGGTTCTTGTCTTCTGAGGAATATTGGTGAAAAGGGACCCCGGGGAATGAAAATCCCGGGCCCGGATTGAGGGCGGAGAGGAGCGACGGAGCGGCAGAGTCCTTACCTGCGGCCTCTGGGCTGGAGGTGTCGGAGATGGTGTGCACCTCCAGCCGGTGTTTGGCAGAATCCAAGGCCGAGCGCGGCTGCCCAGGGGTCAGGGCTGAAGCCATGACCAGGGCCGGCTGGTGGTGATGGTGGTGGTGGTGGTGGTGGTGGCAAGAGGAGGAGGAGGAGGAAGAGGTGGAGGAAGAGGAGGGGGAGGTGGAGCACAGTTTATTCCCGACTCCCAACCGCTCCAGGCTCAGCGCGTCTTTCAGGCAGTTCATCGGGCAACGGGAGCCAGCCTGATCGGCCGGGGGCTGCACACTGGCGGAGAAGCCCGAGGGGAGGGTGTTGGCGTGCTTTCCCAGGGCTGGATGGGGAGGCTGACGAGGAGGAGTAGAAGAGCGCGCCGGTCGCGGGTGGATTGAAGGGGAGGCGGCGGGAGAAGATCCAGGTCAGTGTCACCTGGTCACTTTCACCGCGCTGGTCTGTCTGGGTCGGCGGCCGGAGCGGCGGCGGCGGCGAGGGAGACGGTGGTTAGTCCAGTTCGAACTTCAAGCCAAGACTGGGCCCCCGCCCTCCCCCCACAAAGTCCCCCGACGGGCTTCGGTGCATCAGCCTCTGGGGCCAAGCGCAGTGGCAGAAGGACCCCAAAGGGACAGCGAAGGGGCGATCCTCCGCTGCCTGACTCCCAAGGCGAACTGCGCCGACCATGAAGAATCACAAGGCTGCCGAGGGACTCGCCGGCTGGGCCAGAGTGACAGGCGCAAATCGACGTTATTACATCCAAGGCAAGCGGCGGCGGCAACAACCACAACAGCAGCAGCAGCAGCAGCAACGCGAGCCGCGGAGCAGAACCCTTGAACAAGTCAGAGGCGCATCCCCGCACCGAGCCCTCGCGCCCGCGCTCCGTCTCCTCCTGCCCAGCTCGGCGCCCGAGCAAGCGAGCGATCAACCCCAGCGGCTCGCTCACCAGCTTCCCTGTTAAACCCAGAGGCGGCCTTCCCGGGGCAATGATATCACCCGGCCCCCTTCTCTCCCCTCCCTCCTGCTCCCCCAAGTTCGAGACTCGCCGCCGAGGCCAAGAGTGACGCGGCTCGAGCCCAATCAGGAGGCGCGACGCCCCTGCCAAGGCTATAATAAGACCAACCTATCAGAAACGTAGGGCAGGGCCAAACCAAACGCCTGTCATTCTCTCTCTCTCTCTCCCCCCCCCCGGCGCCCCTGGTCCGCTGTCAGGTCTTCTTATCTTAAGAGTGTGGTGCCAGGAGAGCGACCAAAGGAAAATTAGAAAAATGGGGACAGAGATTTGCCATCCAGACAATATTTTCGCATGCTTCCCCTTGGGAGGTTTGAAATTTGTAGAACAATTTTACATTCGATTCTTTAAAAAGCAAAAGCAAAGCAAAGCGTGCTGCTTACAAGAGACATCTCCGTGTGCTCCTATAGGTGTTAGATAGGGAACCCCTCCCCTCCATAACCACTAGCAACGGAGAAGGTTCCCTTCGTGTTCCCCTTTACGGACGATTTGCTACTACTGTACATTAGAAAAGGCGCAGGTGCCTTCGGCGGAGAAACCCAGCCAAAGAGTATCTGTGTCGTCGCCCCCCGAAGCTTTCTTCACATGACTCAGAAGGCAATTAGTACTTTCAGGAGACAATATTAAAAGAAGCAGCAGAAGAGAGTGAAAGGAAAAAGAAAGGAAGCAAGCAAGGAAAATTAGAGGCAAGCCTTAAAAGGAGATTACTCCCTGAAAGAAAGGGAGAAATCCTACTTCTTATGACTGCAAATGTTGAAAGGGCTCTAAATCGCAAATAGTTAACGCCCAGTGTACCAGATTCACTGAACCGAACATGATTGTTTTACATTGCCATTTAAAATAACTCAACTGTTTCTCAATATACATATACAGATGGAGAAATACAAACTCAGCCGTGCGGAAGAAACATATTAAGAAAAAAAATTCGGACATACGCAGTCCTTACGTTTGTAAAGGTTTTGTTCCTGTTGTTCAGAGTCTGACAGCCCAGTCCTAAAGGGGGGGTTTTATAAATAAGGCTGCCGGTAGCCTTAGAATTACAGCCCTCACAACTCCCAGAGACTTTAGCCCCTCCGTAGTTTTCGTTTTCAAATAAAATAAACCCCCGAAGTAAAGTTTCCTCTGCCTAACCTAGTACTCCAATAAATTTCCCATAATATCATGTTTTAACTACTCTAAACGTTATAAATTAAGGATACTGCGTTCTTTTATCTAGTGTACAGCCTTTTAAATTTTATTATTAAATAAAATCAGACAAGAGAAATGGCAAATCTCTAGAAAGAGACATTATTGATTGTTTGCTCAGGATGTTATATTTAATAATAACGTATTTAATTTGATTCAGCAAAGTGAAGTGTCATTTAAACAGAGAACATTAATTTCAAAATAAATTATTTTTAGAATTTATTCTTTGCTGAGCCATTATCACCAAAAGTAAAACCTTTGCGTGGCCCCCGCCCCAATAAAAACTGTTTCTAGTCCTTCCCGTGTAGAGATGTTAATACAGAAAAAAGGAGGGATTTAAATACTTATGGATCAGAAGCTGAATGTATACAATAGCCGTGCCTGCCTGCACACACATACACAGAACTATTCGATTAATGCATTTCAATAGAAATAATGCTGTTATTTAATATTTCTGTCACATTCTATATGGTTACTTGTCAGAGTTCTTTGATTTTCGTTTCCAACGTGTGTCATTACACCACAACGAAAACAGAAACATTTAGAGAGTTTTCCTAACAATCGTCCTGCCAAATTGTGAGGAGCATTTGATGGGGGAAATGTGCTCTTCGACTTTCTGCTAAAAGAGGGTTGCTTTATGGATAGAGAATTAACATAACAGCTTGTCTTTATGTTCTATCAATCAAATTGACAGTGGATCTTGCAATACTCTGCATAGGGGGTTTTGGTCTCATAAGATCCAGTTTAGGCAGTTTAGAGACCAAGCCTTCTTCCGTTCCCACTTGAGTTATTCTGGAGTAACTACCTCTCACTCTTTCCTTGTCGCCATTATCAGACACAATTACTTTCTTCCAAAAAACGTCTCTTTGCCCTCAATAGGACTTTTAAGACTTTTTCTGATTTCCCCCCCTCCTCTTAAAAAGAAACATTACTGATCGGTGGTTAAATGGTCGTCACAAGGCACTCTACATATTTAGACACAATTGATTTAAATAGTTTAGCTCTTGTGATCCAAAGTTCTGGCGATATCACTCAGAACAGTTGAGGGTACTCCTCTAAAATCAAAGCCCCTGACCTCCCTTCCCCTTTTTGGCTGTCGAGGGTCCTTCAGATACGCTTAATTGTACCTCTTTTCTCCCGCACTTCTTTCTCGCTTACCGTTCAACCCTACGTATTATTTTAGCAGTCTGTTAGTAAAGAAGGTCAAATTAATTTACATTCTCCTCATTATCCGGTGTTTAAATGAGGTGGTTTATCCCTGAGATTTGGCAAAGATGCTCTCCTGCTTCCTTTCCCTTCCCCGCCCCACTCCACTCCTCATACCCCATAGCGTTTCGATGGAGACAATACTCTTACATTTGTAGTGGATTTTAATCTGATAAAACCCTAATTTGCTTAAGTCTTTTAAATAGGGGGTTTTAAACGATTCTATCCCTTTTCTTATTGAATTTCCTCTAATTCCCCCAAGATCATAAAGTATATGTGTAAAGTAAATAGTTTCTCCCTGCGCACCGGCAGCAGATGACCTATAAGTAAGTCAATAAGAATCCAGCGCCTTTCTGCACAATTTGTTTACTAATCATATCCCGGTTTCTTCTTAACCTCCTGGGGCTACTAGGGGGTTCACACTTCACGTAAATCCCTCCAAGCCCTTCTTAATCAATGGAAGCCGTTACAGGCAGCCACTCCAGGCAGGCAGTGAACTAGGCTGCGAATATCACACTCCCCCCCCCCGCCCCCAAGTTATAGGGGTGGAAGTTTTTGCAACCTTCAGCAAAGCAAGCGTGACGGGAAATGAGACAGAACAGGGGGGAAAGAGGAGGGGAAAGGCAAAAGGCTCGGGTTCTTCGCCCCCTTGTAGACAAGACAGGTTTGTTGAACTCCTGTTTCAATAATCCGGAATAGTTGCTTTCTATTCATATCTATTGGCGTGAGAATCCCATCCGACTATGGCCGCTGGCAAGGCTGGCTGGGAGATTCTCAAAGCTTGCAGACCAAAATTCTCCCCAAATTATCAAGAGGCATTTCCTTTCATTTCTGACGCTGAGAACGCCACAAAGCGGCCACAGCGTGTTACAAGTGGGCCTTTCCAGTTAGCCTAAATCTATACCCTGTTTGCGGATTCTAGTTCTAAATTTTCGGGGATTTGGAAGGCAACTGGCTGGCTAATGATCTTAATGACCATAAGAACACTATTACACAGCTAGATAGTCATGCTTGGCAGGGGGGTAGAGGTAGGGGTGGATTGGGGTAACTTTTATCTGTTGATGAACCATACCGAGCCAATTTATCCCGGACAGAGATCAGCGGACTTTACTTCCAAGTGGAAAAAAAGAGGACTAATGGAAATGATCCACCGACGGATGACGCCGAACAACGTTTGGAGCTGTTCAGTTTCATTGAGTAAAGAGAAAAAAATAAACAGAGGCATGACAGGCTGGTAAAAGTATGCATGATGCGGAGAACATAGATAACGAGAAACTTTTCTTGCTGTGTCATAATATTTGAACCTAGATGGTGAGAGATTTAAGGACTGTAAAAATAAGCTCTTCTTCCCAAAACACATAGCTGACCTTTGGAATTCACTGCCACAAGATGTAGTGAGGGGTGCCCTCACTGAGATGGCTTTAAAACGGGATTTGATAAATACATAGAGGTTAGGACCATCAAAGGCTGCTGGTAAATAGGACTTTTTATTATTTCCATTATCAAAGGCGGGGAGCCTCTGTACTTTATTAGCTGGTGAAGGCAACAGAGTGGGTCCTCTTAGCCGTCTTATTTTGCGGAGGGATTTCCATACGCAGCTGGATGGCCACTATGCGAACACAATTGTGGATGAGACGGGTCTTCTGAAGCGGTTAATCAACATCTGAATCCTATACCCATTTGCTCGGAAGGAAGCTCCAGTGAGTTCAACTGAACTGAATAAAATTGCAGCCCTTAAGAGTTCATGAACGTGGTGCTAAACCAAAGAGAAGTGTCTAAAGTAGGAAACTATGATTAGCTTCATTAACATACAAACGCGTACACAATACGCCCTGTGCCTTCTCTAGGGAGAGTTGTGAGGAAGTATATCCCATTGATTTTGAAATCACTGCCGTCCAGTAACTAGTGGAATTGTAGAAAATCTGTTTAAAAGCTGCAGAACAAGGGTCATTCAGATCGAAGTCACCAGGTGGGATGTCGTGATAATCTGGGCATGGAACAGTCTACTACATGAGCACTGCCGAGATTTCCTCTTTTCGGGAAGTTGAACGGAACACCGCCCCAGATAATCATCTTGGAGATCTCTCCATTCTGTGATTTCCTTAAAGTTTGGTTGAAGAGGTTGCAGACATATGCTAGTTCTGCTTACAATAGAACCAGTGAAAATA